GGAACCCAACAGGTGTCTATATGTAAGAGTAATCAATGGATAGTCCAGCACACAACAGGAACTCTTTTCCTGTTGTGCGGTCGACCGCGGCGGTCGACCGCGACGGTCGACCGCACAACAGACAAAGAGCGACCGCGACGGTCGACCGCACAACAGACAAAGAGTTTTTCTTTTTCTGGGTTTGGGTCTTAACGGGTTTCGGGTCGGGTTGTGGCATTAGTATATAAACTAATGAACCCAAGAGAGCCTTTTTTCAGCTGAGATCTAAAACCCTAGCCCCCTTCTCTCTCCTCTCTAAACCCTAGCTCGGATTTGGCATTTTTGGGAATTTCGAAGGGGTTTCAGTGGGATTTCGCAGGTCAGATTGAAGGAGGATCATCTTCAGGGGATTTGTCAGCACCTGAGGCGAGTATCATCTCGTCCAATCCCTCACCCATATTTTTCTACGAATTTCTTTTGATTTTTCATGAGTTTTGATGAGCCCAAAAGGTATTTTTGTATAAAAATGAGTTCTCTCTAATATGGATTGCAAGAATCAAATGTTTCAGTTTATAAAAGTTCACAAATGTTTTGTTTAGTGAAGATCTAGATCTGAAATTGCTTAAACAAGAGTTAAATCACGATTTACTGTTATCAAAACGCTTTTAATATGTTTTCTTATGTATTTAGAGTATTGGGGATGTAGTTTACATGCTTAAAATTCGTTGTTCTTGTTCTGTATGATTTTAGAGACATTTGAAATTTTGTTATCGTAGAAATCACAAAATTTTATTTCAGGTTTTGAGCTGACAGAAACCCAGATTTGGGCTTCTGTCTGCTTTGCGGTCGACCGCTACGGTCGACCGTTGGGCGCGCAGAAGGGGCAGGAATCGTCTGCGGTCGACCGCGGTGCCGTTTCGGTCGACCGCGATGCTCTGCACGGTCCGAGGCGCGTATCAAAGCGCAGTCGACCGGGGCGGTCTACCGCCGCACAGTCTGGAGCAAAAATTTGCTGTTCTGTATATTTTATTTATGTTCGAGAGTTTGCCTATTATCTGACTCTGGTTTTTAGTCTTACTATGTATCCATGCATGATAGATGACCTGAGGATACCAATTGGGGATTTACACACTGATTTGAGTGTGAATTGACATAAGTAGATTTCACTATGTATCTCAGCGATATTTTCATAATTTCACAGTCCTCGTGTTGGACTATAATCCATAGAAGTCCTCGTGTTGGACTATAATCCATAGAAGTCCTCGTGTTGGACTATAATCCATTTCAGTCCTCGTGTTGGACATTTGCCACTTATTCCATGAGTTTGGAAACCACAGTATATAGTTCCTGTATCGGACTTAGTTCTTAACCTTGCATATGACTTTCTCACAGTAGTTTATGACATGACACTTATGTAGATTTTGACATGATATTCATGTAAGACATGACACTTATGTAGATTTTGACATGATATTCATGTAAGTAATAACATGATACTCATGTAGGCTATGTCATGGCACTGTATTTATGCTCTGATATTTTGTAAGTAATAACATGATACTCATGTAGGCTATGTCATGGCACTGTATTTATGCTCTGATATTTGTTGTGTTTCTTTTATAATTGTTCCTGTACTAGAACCTCGGGTTTGGTGTTTAGGGGCTTACAATTTGAGATATAAGGTATATACATGAGGGTTTCCTTGTTTGGATTATTTCGCTCGACATACCTACTCTCGTGTTGTAAATTTCTAAATACTAAGTTCTCTTTAGTAAGATCAATGATTTTAGATCTATTACGTATTATCTGTATTTTCTTATACAACGAGCCCTGTTTCCTTGGGGTTGATTGTGATGTTACTCGCTAGCGCTTTGACGCTCGTTTTCCCTCCCCCCCCCTTTTCAGGTAATGAGCCAGGAGTCCGGAGAGTCGCAGGTTGATGGCGATGCATTTTAGCTTCAGCTGTCTATTTAGTTATATATTTTCTTTTGGAGTTCCACAGTAGACTTTTGTTTAGACATTTGAGAGTCTTGTTCTAGAAGTTGTAAAGGCTGTGTGCCTTATTTCCTTTTTGTCAGATATTTGTATTTGAGACTGGTTGAGTATTCCAGTTTATCTACTCAGACCTTGACTATGTATTTCTGTATGTTGGATGATGAGATATTAATGTGATTATTATCATTTCATCGGTATTTCTTGTATTATCTTTTACTTGCTTTTGTACCTACACCTGTTGTTGACTCTACTAGATAGATGTTAATTGTGATGGTGAAACATGTTATTGCACAGTGTGATGCATAGCAGGTTTGACATTCTTGGTTTCACCTTGAACTGCAGCCTTGTGTGAACCCATGGGCTTCACATTTGGACTCCATGAAACATTTCCCAATAGCTCAAAATAACTAAAAATGAAAAATAATTATGGATTATAGATCACGGAATCATAAATTTTGGACTAGAAGAAATTACTGGCCAAGGGTCGAAGCAAGTAAAAATGACCAAAAGTCATTACTTACAGCTCACGAGATTATGAATTTTAGCCACCGTGAAATTATTTGCCAATGAGTTAAAATAACAAAAAATGGCTAAAAACATTGGTTATAGCTCATAAAATCTAGAATTTTGGCCACCGAAAAAGTATTTATCCAATGGGCCAAAACGACTAAATTTACCAAAAGTAAAGGGTTATAGTTCATGAAATTATAATTTTAGCCTTCGTAAAAAAAATTTTGTCAATGCATTGAAACGATTAAAAATGATGGATTGTAGCTCATGAAATTTTGAATTTCGGACTCAACGAAATTATTTACCAATGGGTAGAACCAACTAAATATGATAAAAAATTGTGGGTTATAGTTCACAAAATCATAACTTTTGGCCGTTGTGAAATTATTTTTGAATGGGTTGAAACAGTAAAAAATGACCAAAAATTATGGGTTATAGCTCACGAAATAAGAACTTTGGCCACTGTATAAGTATTTATCCAATGGATCGAAATGACTAAATATGGCTAAAAAATCATTGGTTATATCTTATGAAATCGTGAGTTTTAGCCAATGCGAAGTGATTTGCTAATGAGTCAGAACGACTAAAAATGACCAAAAGTTAGGGGTTATAGCTCATGAAATCTATGGTTGCCTCGAAATTATTTATCTAGTTGCTCGAAATGATTGAAAATGACAAAAAATTATGGGTTATTAGATCATGAAATCGTGAATTTTGGACACATAAAAATCTTTATTAATGGATAAAAATGACTAAAAATAGCCAAAATTATAGGTTATAGCTCATGATATCATAAATTTTAGCCTCCACAAAATAATTTCTAATGTGTCAAAATAAGTAAAATAGTACAAAATAATGGGTTACAAATCACAAAATCGTGAGTTTTGACCACCATGAAATTAACTAGCCAAATGGTTAAAAAGACAAAAATGACCAAAATCATGGGTTATATCTCACAAAATTGTGGAATTTGGCCTCCGCAAAATTATTTACGAATTGAATTAAAATAGTAAGAAATTGTGGGTTATAGCTCACAAGATCGTGAATTTTAGCCATCCCGAAATTAATTAGGCAACTATTCAAAAATACTAAAAAAGGCCAAAAATCATGGGTTATAGCTCATGAAATTATGAATTTTGGCAATTCTCTAAAATTTTTAGCTAATGTGTCGAAACAACTAAATAATAATAAAAAATAATGGGTTAAAGCTCATAAAATTGTGAATTTTAGCCTTCACAAAATAATTTACCAATGAGTCAAGATAAATAAAATGATAAAAAATCATGGGTTATATGTCACAAAATTAATTAGCCAATTGGTCAAAAAGACTAAAAATGACAAAAAATTATGGGTTACATCTCACGAAATTATGAACTTTGGCCTCTGCAAAATTATTTATAACTAGATCGAAATGAATAAAAATAGCAAAAAAATCATGGGTTATAGCTCACAAGATCGTGAATTTTGGGCACCACGAATTTTTTTTGCCGTTGTGTCGAAATGACTAAACATGGAAAAAAATCATGGGTTATAGCTCATGAAAACATGAACTTTTAACTTCACGAAATTATTTGACAATGCGTCAAAATGACTAAAAATAGCCAAAAATCATAGGTCTATAGCTCATGAAACATGAATTTTGGCCATCGCGAAATTATCTGTGAATGTATCAAAACGATTAAAATTTGCCAAAAATCATGGGTTGGTTCACGAAATCTTGAATTTTGGACTAAAATTTACCAAATTTCGCTAGGTATAGCTCATGAAAATATGAATTTTAAACTCCATGAAATAATTTGGCAATGTTAAAAATGACTAATATAGATAAAAAATCGTGAGTTATAGCTCACGGAATCATAAATTTTAGCCTCCGTAAAACTATTTATCCAATAGGTCGAAACGAATAAATATTGTCAAAATTCGTGGGTTATAAAACAAATTCAAGGCATATGAAAGCTGGTGGACATAGTCTTTAGTCCCACTGGAGTTTAGGGGAGCTTTTAGCCATTAATTAGCATTACTCTATTTGCAATTTATTCTTTTCAATAACCTTTTTTTTAATCTATCTATAGGGTACACTAAAATAGCTTTGAGGAGTTGAAGCAATGATAAATAACGTCTATCTCTCTACTATTAAATTTATCCTTTTTAACTTATATATCATCATTGCCTATCAATCTTATCAAATTTCAAATTAACAAGCTCTAAACAAAAATCTAAGTGATTTTGCTTATAAACCCAAAGTTTTTTTGCCCTGATTTTTTTTAAACACCACAATCATATGAAAAATAAATAATGTTAGGGGCACACCCCCTAACACACCACCAACCACACCCCCATCTCCTATCGCTACAGTAAACCGGGTTCCACATGGGATTTTAAAAATTTTAAAATCCCATGTGGGGCCCGGTTTACTGTAGCGTTAGGAGAGGGGGATGTGGTTGGTGGTGTGTTAGGGGGGGTGCCCCTAACGACGACACTCATGAAAAATAGAGGTCTAAAATATGAATACTAACCTGAGGAAACCCTTTGAACCTGTGAGCAACAATCTCCAGTCCCCTAACCCACTCATCCTCATCAAAGTACAAATCCCAAAGAAGCCATTGCCGTCCTCCCTCCACAGCACCACTGTGCCTGCTCACGGGATTGTCCGGCACACCATCACCTCCGCGCTCCCCCAACCCCCACCACCCTCATATAACCTCCTCACCCCCAGCCCCACCATTGCCGGGTTGTCCTCTCGACGCCCTCAGCGTTCTCGTCGAGCCCTAGAGATTTTAAGGACTTTTCGACGCAGGGTCTCGTAGCGGCGTCGTCGTCCAGAGGTACGTGGCCCAGGTGAGGCGGACGCAGTTGAAGCCGAGGGAGGGGATGAGGGAGGTGATGAGGTGGAGGGCTGTTTGTTGAGCGCTTCGGGATGAGCGCGGGCATGTGGCCCACCCAGTTGACGCAGCGGAGCTTCACGCGGGGTTTGTGGCGGTCGTAGACGATGCCAGCGGCCGTGGGTTGAGAGGGGGAGGGGTTTCACATGGTGAGCGAGGAGGAAAGTGAGGAGGAGGTACAAAAATGATAACGTGCTCATTCTGGTTAATGATGGGGGTAACTAGCAAATAATTAGCAGGGGAACGTGGGGTTTATAGTGAAGTTTGTGGTTGAGTTTGAGTGGTTTTGGTGCAAGTTAATTGTTTATGTAGGAATCTCGAAGTCAGTATACATATTGAGGAGTTGAAGATGAGATTGTGTGAGTGAGTTTGTTGAGATCATTAGGTACGCGTTTGTAGAAAATGTGCATGTTGAGAAACGTGAACGAGGCGCGGCAATTGGGTTAAGTACGAAGCTCGAGGTGTGTTTGGTTGATATTTGATGAGGTGACCTTTTAGACTAAATATGTAGAAATGTTGTGACACAGGCTACATATTTTCATTGATGAACTTGAGTTCGTGTCGAAGGGTATCAGATCAAAGTTTCCTTAATCAGATTAAAGTTGGTATACATAGGAGTAAAGGTTCTATCGGAACACCTCACGCAATGGGTTGATCTATATCATTCACGGATTAGTTCGGAATTTATGGTTATTGTATCAATGGTGTAGACCACTCTATTCCTATAGTGATGGTTCTAAAATGATCCTTATGGGATTGGTCCAAAAGAAAATTACTTTCATTGGTCAGAATTTGACCAAAAAATTGCTTTAGTTCAAACCTTTTTATTTATTTTTTGGTCAAACTAAAAGATAAACACCAAATTTATAAGTTGCCAAACACAACCTAATTCTAAAATTTGGATGACTAGACTGCTAGTGGGAAGCTGAGCAAATCCAGAATGTTCAGATAACATGTTCCGTCCCATCCTTCTTGAGTATACTTTTATCAGCTGCAATGATAATTTTATGTGCTTCTGAATTGTTTCATTAATTTCTCAGCAGAGAAAGGAAAATATGGATATATGTAGCCTTAAATAAGATAACGAAGTGTTTACATAGTTTAAGTTTACTGAAATTTTTAGGATTTTATGAGTCAAGTTCTAGACTCATTAGCCTAAAATTAGTCTAAAATTAGGGACAATTGTGTCAAGGCCTCAAATATGGGAAGCCCATGTGACCTAGCCCTCTATATTTTAGGTCATGTGATTCAGCCCCAAATACATGGTGTATTTGTGTTAAGGCCCCAAAGTTGCTGAGAGAGAGAAAAGCCTAGTTGAAGTTACAATCTCACCCTTAATTTGATTTGACTGAACTCGGTAATCGCTCCCCCTCCCCACTCAAGTACTCTCTCTCCCTCTTTCTCTTCTACTGTTGAGGAGCCACCGGAAATTCCCAAACTCCATTTCTGCAATCTTGAATTTCAATCTTGGGTTAGGATTTTCACCGTGAAAATGTCGTCGAAGGAAGTATCGGTTAACGATTTCGAAGTCTGTTCATCGTGGTGGATGGCAGGAGAAAGATGAAACCAAATCACAGTCGTCGGGCGCACTTCGTGAATCATCTGGGAATGGAAGGGACAGTGAATACCAAGAATCATCTGGGATTGGAAGCATGGAGGAAGCGTCGAATGCCCTTTTGGTCATGTGAAGGGGTGAAGTACGAGGTCGAGGCCAAAAAAGAAGACCAGCAAGGGATGGTTCCAACGAATCCAACCCCAAAAAGAAGTAAGTGCTAGGTTTTTTTTTCTTAATTAAAGAACTTAACCCCTTTGCATGTTATCCAATTTATACTGAGGTTCATGTTATCTAAACTGATTTCCATGTTATCTAAACTGATGTTCATGTTAATTCTAATTTCATGTTAAGTACAATTTGATTCATGTTAAGTCTAATATCAGTTCATATTAAGTCTAATATCAGTTCATGTTAAGTCTAATATCAGTTCATGTTAAGTCTAATGTCAGTTCCTGTTAAGTCTAATACCAATTCATATTAAATCTAATTCAACTTGTATATTTGAATTTATTTTATGGAAAAAAGTTGGTGATGCTGCAGAAATTAGGCCAACTGCCATTATTGGGGCTTATTATGAATTTATGAAGCATCTTGCCCTAAAGATATATCAGTGGCATATGGATGCATATTGTGGATCCATATTTGAGCACTATATTCTATTTGGCGCTCCTGCACTTGATCGTCCAACACTTGAGCTGGTGTTGAGCTATTATGATATTGATAATGAAACATTTTCTATCTCTGATGCAAAAACTGGGGAAATAAAAATTGTTAACTTTGACTTAGATTAGGTCCATAATCATATTTTTTCCAATTGGTGGGGAAATCATTTGTACCAATCGGGACTCCAAATGCAGAATATGGGTGCAATATTTTACTAAGCTTTTTAAAGAAAGTATTGTAGAATCAAAAGAAAAGAAGGGTATCCAAGACTTTGTCAAATCTTAATTCTTTCGCATGGTCAAATCGTCATCCCTCATCATTTAAAGCAGTGTGTCACCAAGGAGGAATCCTCTCTGATTTGCTAATCATGTCATGAATCATCATAACACTGTCCCGGAAGGATTATCATTGGAATCCTATCTGATACACAAGTCCTATATGAATTTTGAAACACATGTAGACGTCGACATCGGCGGACCACAATCTATACTTTTTGAGCTCAAATTATTGGCAAAATGTTGTAAATATTTAGAAAATAAACAAATAACCAAAAACTAAACAAATAATAATAACTAAAGAAATAATCAAAACTAAACAAGACTTAACATCGAACCATTTTGAGTCATCGAACAAAATTGAGTTAACAGTGAACAGATTTACACTTGACTACACATAAATTAGACTTAACATGTAACGACTTGAAGTTAACATACTACAGTTTAGACTTAACGTAACACGCTTTGGACTTAACATGTAAAAGGTTACAGTTAACATACAGGAAATTAGACATAACATACAAGGTTTTGGACTTAACATGTTCTCACTTGTGTAGGCGTCTAAAAATGTCTATGGGTGTCCGCACACAGCTCGAGATGGAGAGAAGACGATGAACGTCGTTATCCGGGTCTAAGAGGATTATCTATCGTTGATAAGCGTATGAAGCGAAACGACGAACCAAGTGGTACGCGCGCGTCAATCAGTTCGTGCGCGTCGGTCAACACGCGCACGTCAACCAACACACGCAAGTCAACCAATGTGCGTTCGACGGTCAGTCTCGCAATGAAATCGTACAAGTAAACAAGACAGTCAAGCGCTCAAAACGGTAGAAAATACAAGTCCCAGAAGAGTCGGAAAACCAAAAAAGTGCCAGACTTCGGAACCCGCGCCGATGCGAGACGACCGAAACTGACCCGCACCAGCGCGGGTCGGCCGAAACCGACCCGCACCAGCGCGGGTCGGCCTTGGCTGACCCGCGGCCTGGCGGGTCGCGGGTCAGCCAGGCCGACGAGCGTGGCCCCAGCGGGTGCAGCAACGACCCGACGCGCTGTTTTGACCCGAAAACCCGTTTTTCGACGGATTTGAGCGGGTTTCTCAGGATTTATCTGTTCCAGGGGTTCCTAACTACCTAAATCATATCTCTAAACATTGTTAATCAGTTGTTAACTGAGGATGGAGCCAAATCACGTGTTCTCATCCAAATAACCGCTTCCGAAGCCCTATAAATACAAGCCTAGGGCCTCCTTTCAGCGGGGGGATTAATTATTCAAGACGAGGATGTGCTGCGGGATTGAGGAGTTAAAGGAGCACGAATTTCAGCGAGGGTTGACAGATCTCGGCGAGTTCTTCGGTATAAAGAAGGAGAGTTCGAGAAATCCGAAGCCCGTTTCCCCGTTCCTCGAGATTAGGCTTGGTCTTAATCTCGAGAAGAGCTACTGATTTCGCTTGGTCGCTCTCAGCACTTCAAATCAAATACTTCCTCAGTGAAGACGAAGCTCTGTCGAAATTTTCATCAACCGGATCCAGATCAAAGGCGGTCCACGGATAAACCCCGGCACAGGCAAAGACACTCACGCAAGCAGAAGACTGATAAACGATCTCCCTGTGTTTGTTTGATAAAGTTGTAAACTTATTTTATTTTTATTGTGTAAGAAGATCTTATAAAAAGATCAACTTTTTATTTTATTCGAGTTTATTGTAATGACTAAAGTTGTAACAGATTCAATAGCAATGAAAACAGCAATTTTCGACGCAAACAACTTGCTGTTAACATAATAGAATTTTTACTTAATATAAAAAGCCTTGAAATTAACATGTTTCTCACATACAGTTACCGAACCAATTTGAGTCATCGAACAAATTTGAGTTAACAGTGAACAAATTTACACTTGATAGCTCACAAATTAGACTTGACATGTAACGACTTACAGTTAACATACTCTCTTGATAGCACACAAATTAGACTTAACATGTAACGACTTGCAGTTAACATACTATGGTATAGACTTTAACATAACATACTTTGGACTTAACATGTGGTTGCAGTTATTATATAGGATATTAAACTTAACATACAACGCTTTAAACTTAACATGTTCTCACTTGCAGTTAACATAATGAAATTTAGACCTAAGCCGTTTGTTTCATCTTTGTATGCCAAAGATAAAGAATTATATGAACGTTTTAACCTCTCTGACACATCAAATTTGAGTTTCATTATGGTGGTTGAAGAATTATTTTTTAAGAAAACTACTTTATCACCTAAGGAGACA